AAGCACCTGATTTACTTTGGGAAGGACGGTCGCAAAGTTCCAGGGATGGAAGATGTTGATATCTTACACGAAATTCGCTGTAGATATTCCTCTGGGTAAAATACTAAAAGGAAAAAGAACAAGAATTCAAATTACTTTAAAAAAAAGAAAAATAAAAAAGCTCCACAAGACGCCGATGTTAGCAACCAAAGGTGCCTATGCCTTCTTTATTTTTATAACAGTGACTGAACACTACAAGACTGACTAGAATATTTTCTACTATGAATATCAAAGCAACTTAATAAACACAAAGAAAGCGATTAAACAAATTGTGTTCACAAAAATGAATTTCGACCACTCGAAGCAATGGTGCTAACCGTTTGGAGCTCACACTGACTGATAGGGGGGAAGAACTAGTATATTAAAGAGTTATTTACCACAACTTTAGTTGGTGGTGTAGCAGGCGACAAAGTCTCTTTCTCTTTATTTACTACTGGTAAGAAGGGCACGGCGCCAACGAAAGGCGATGGCTTTGTGACAGCATTGAGCATTGCTTTAGCTGTGCTCTTCCGAGCAACGGCTTTCACAGGAGCCACGGTAGCTTCCGACGGAAGTTCTTTATCCTTTTGCTCATCATTCCTAGTGTATTCTACGTAAGCGCCAGAGTTATCCTAAACAAAAAACAAATAAAATTATATTATGTAACCATGTACAGGAATTAATCAAAACAAACAAACCACAGGTCTGCTTCACGGTTCCAATATTTTGATTAACTTATATATGTATCGCTATTAAAATTCAATATTGGAACATATCCCTCTCTGCTGTTTGTAAGAAAAATACAGCGATTTTACTCAAACGTAAGATGGGAGCAGAGAATTTGGTATACGGATGTCGCAAAGAAAATAATACCCTAAGGGTTTTAAAAAATAGATTTTTACCGTTCCCCTTTGCATCCTCGGCATAATTCGCGCTTTGTTCTGCAGTCGATTACTTGCAGCCTGCTCTTCTTTGAACATGGGGTTTAAGCGCGTCGAACCCCTATATATCCACTCGACTCTGTTAGAAGCATCGAAGAACATTTGCACTAATGAACAGTCAATCTTCATAACCGTTGTCAGCCACCATTTGCCTAAACAACATTAAAAAAAAAGAGATAAAAATATAAAATTAATAAATAAACTGTTATTAATATTAATACTGTAAACGAAAGTTTAAAAATAATACTCTTATTATTACCCCTGTATTCTGTACGAACGGTTTGGTCCTTTCGCAATTTAACCATGGGCCTGTCAGGGTACGATTCAAGATATTTTTTAATAAAGGGTCGCGAGTCAATATGCACGTCTTCCCACACAAATTTGGATGATTCGAAAACGAGACGAACCTGGTTATGGTTCACATATTGGGCGTAACCATCGTCAAAAAATATGAGATATCTGAAATAAAAAAACCATGGAATACATATCATAAGGTACAGCAAACCTACAAAACTTAAAAGAAGTATAAACTTAGAAGAGTAATAACTTAACGATAAAAAAGAAATTTTTTTTTTTATAAAATAAACGCCAAAAACGCAATGATTATCAAATTAACGTTGCTTTACAAACCACAAGAAAATAAAAGTAATTAATAATTATAATTTTTATAGTAACGATTCAAAAGAAACAAAAAATAAATCTGACAAGTGTGACTACCTTATCAAAAACGTTATTTCGAGAAGAAAATTTGTTTAATCCATTATTTTAAGATAAATGCTACAGCACAGGTCATAGTATTACGTAGTTAGATTAGCAAATTCTTATGCCGAAGTGTACGATGTGTTGCATACCTATTTACAAACAATTCCTTTAAATTTAATTTTTTAAACAATTTTTAACACAAAGAAAGTGATTAAACAAATTGTTCACAAAAGTGAATTTCGACCACTCGAAGCAATGGTGCTAACAGATTCGAGCTCACAGTGACCGATAGGGGGGAAGCACTG